CCTTCTTGTTTAGGTCTCTGCTAGATTGGTATCTCAATACTGTACTATATGTAATCAAGTTTCAGATATTCTCACAACACCTTTCATGTAAAAAATCAAACTGGATTTATATATATCAGATACTGTGTGTTTGGACAGTGATAGTCCAGTAGAATATTACAATGTTGTGACAAGCAAAATATATAGTGTACGATTAAAATGAGTAAAAGTTTGTGTTAATGATTTTTTTTTCCTCTTTCAAAACTGAACTTTAATCCAGTTGCTTTACTAAATGCTATTTCCACACATGAACTAGATAATTAGTAATCTCATCAAGGCATATTCTTTATTTTTTGTGATTTGCAGCCAGAAAGAAAAATCTTAATTGCTTGAAAACTTCATGCCCTCCTCCTTTACCCTGCCTCAAAAACAAAACTAAGTGAAGTGAAACAAAGCAACCTCCCAAAACAAACAGACAATAAAACTTATTTTGCAATAGTTTTTTAACTTGATTTGCTGTGGCAGGAGGGAAAGGAGGAAAGAATGCTTATTTTGAATAGAAGTTTGGAATCTGGAAGACTTGTTTTTATTGAACAGTATCCTGAAAAGAGGGACCAGTATAGGTTGAGTCCCCAAATAAATTATTACTATTCCTTTTCAGACTAAAAATAAAACATTTTAAATATATTGATTATAACTTCATCAGAACATAAGTATTCTATCTAGCCTATAGCTTCAAAGAATCTCTATTTGGGCTTAATTTACCATCATTTAAAAACAAAACAATGAAATGTGTAATTCTGCACATTAGGATGTTCATAGTGACCACAAAAAATTAAAAAAAAAATTCACAGACTGCTAGCCATAAATTTCAACTTTTTCTCACAATTCAAACTGATAAGAATTAAAAGTAACATCAATTTCATTTAAGAATCTTTTGTTCTTCATCCAGGCATGTCATGAGTAAGAAAGTAAAAATAAGTTTTGCTAAATGAAAATCTTGATCATATTATGCCACTGACTTCAAGTGAAACTCAACACTATTTTCAGCTTAGCATGCAGCTTGAAAATATTTGATCTGAAGTAGGATTGCAGTAATCTGAATGGCTTGCAGTCATATCCATTATCTCCTGACTTTAAATGCTTTTTGTCTTTACATCTGTATTAACGAATTAGAATTACAACTGCGTTTCAAATCCATGGCTTTTTGTGGCATTTTGATTCTTACTCTTCCTCCATCAATTAATAGATATTTTGATATTGTTGAGTGACAAAAAGTTGAAAAGTTATGGCTAGTTTTATTTCTTTTTTTAATAACCATACCTATATAATTGTTATTTTCATACTTTAAAAAAATATTTATGCTTTCTTTTATATTTTAGTCAAGTACTTTCTTAAACAAAACAATAGCACCACTTTGGCATTGTTGGCCAAATCAGTAAAAGGTAAAGCAAATACAGTACACGCTCTTTTTGAGCTTCTCTTATCATGCGCTTGCTTGTGAAAAGGGAAAGCCAAGAAGACAGGGGGTTGGCACAGTATCTTCCTTAATCATCTTTAACCATTGATACTGCATCAACAACCAGCTCACAGGGCAGCTGAACATAGCTGCTAGTTATGATTGGAATTCACTGTTGTAAGGAAAGCTTACCACAAATTTACCCTTTAATTCTAACAGCGTTATTGAGATTGTAGTCTGTTTTGAGGAAAACATTCCTACTTTCTTGCATGTACAGGGACAGATTGCAGTATCCTGTTATTTGATTTTCTTTTCTCTCTCTTTTTTAATGGAACAAATATGCTTCATACACAGCTGTAAGTGTAGGTTTATAAGCTCATTTTGAACAACTATAGAATTTATACATTTCTCATTGAAAATTCGCAATGATTAATTATGGTTTCTATGGAGAGGAGAGTCATGTGTTGCTACCTTGAAGAAAGAGATATATTAACTTCAATGGATTTAGATCTGAAGACCTTTCTGAACTTACAGAAAATCACAGAATCACACAGAATCCCAGAATGGGATCCCAGAGATCATCTAGTCCAACCCCTCTGCTCCAGCAGGGACACCCAGAGCACGTGGCACAGGGTGGCATCCAGGCGGGTGTGGAAGATCTCCAGAGAAGGAGACTCCACAACCTCTCTGGGCAGCCTGTTCCAGGGCTCACAGGAAAGAAGTTCTTCCTCATATGGAGATTAAACTTCCTGTGTTTAAAGACACTTAATTCACTTTTCTCCTGCTTTTATAAGAATGCTAGAATGCAAAAACCCATTACTTTCATCATGTGTTTTACATAATATAGAAAGACGGGGAGTGGTTTCTTTATTGTGTAAATTATTTAGGAGAATAAATGGCATCCAGTGAAAGCTCTGTTCCTAAAACTCTGGAGTGCTTTTTAAAGTCTGGTTGAACCTTTGAATTTCACTAAGAAGGTTTTCAAGCTAGACTACTTTGTATGTTAGGAGAGAGAGAAGTTTTGGCTCATACTTTTTCTTCCTAAAGTAATGGATTTATTTACATTATTAAGCTAATGCAACCCCTTTCTTTTGCATTGACTAGTACATTACGTAATGTCCTGTCATAGGTCTGAAGAATTGTCATGTAAATATGCATTCTCTATCCATGTATTTCTTGCCTGTACAGGTGTAGATTTGGTCCCTGTATTTCAATCCTGTTCCTTCTCTTGTAAAACAAGATGTTTCTTTTGAAACTTTTAGCCTCTCATTATTTATTTTATTTTCTTTCAAGAATTATAATTTGTCTGGACAGCTATCAAGTTTTGATGCTAGACAGTGTCGTCTACCAGAGACATTTTCTGATTATGGTAGTCAAGGGAAAAATACATGGAATGTAATGTGATTAGATGAACCCCAAGTCAGGAACAAAATTTGGATTTAATTTGTGCAATTTAAATAACAAAATGTTGTCTAGATTTTTAGAAAAACTGCACTGCATCAACAAAATGTTATCATCTCTGAAGAAAGCTGCCATTCACAGAGATCTGTAAATTGCTTTTTGAGCTCATGCTTTTTCTCCTTTGAATGCCCAGATCTTGAGAGCAGGTAGGGGACAGGAGTCATGGGACACAAAATGCAAATATGTATTATATTTATGACAGATCAAAAAAATGGCTGATTCTTGGAGTGTCCTTCAAAATTCCTAATGACCATTGAAGTAAAAATCCCTCCATCAACCCCCTTCCTAGCAAAAATCCCCTGTAAGAGTTTTAACAGGTCAGAACTGCTACTTCTGTTCAATGAATTGGTGGTAAATAGTTTAGGTTAGTTTCTCCAACTGCTTCTCTGTACCTTCTTCCCCTTTTTTTCAATATATCTATCTCTGTCAATGACAGCAGTGACACATTCTCCTTAGTCATTTACTATTCTGCATTTATGATGGCATGATGGTATAATGGCAGCCTGTTTTGCTTATAAACATGCGTTCTAGAGAAAGAGGAGGGTTTAAAGAACCGCATGAGAATGTACTGCATTTTTCTTGGAAAAAATACAAAAACTATTTTTTCTAAAGGAATGAAATGATTGAGGGATCAGTAATTTGGTAGAAGGTAAGGGTTAGCAGAATGGAGCCTTTAAAGAAATATTTCCTTTACAGAGCTGATCTCACTTTTCCCTATGTCTCTAGTTGCTGTCTTTATACGGTACTCCCCTTGCTGTCTTTGTGGCTGACCAAGAAATGCTTCTTCCCTTGTCAGAGTTTGCCATGATGGCCGGAGAAGGACAAGTGGAACCGCATTGCAGCTCTGGACAGTTGGAAAACGCATTCGTCACTGTCTTCTCTCCCCGCTTCTAAGTAAAAGTTCATTGCTCTCCTTGGGATGACTTTGATTGCCCAACCCTTTTGCTGTATGCTCAGTTCTAGCTTTAAAATAGTATACGAAAATGGAGAATGGGAAATGGCGCAATTCAAGGTAGAAACAATGTACTCCGTAGCAAGATGACATGGCAGAAATTATCCAGAAATCTTGTATGAGAGTGCGTGAAAGGCTACTGTAAGTAGCATTTTGAAGGACTTGATGGTTCACCCATTTCTGAACAATTTTTTTGCATTGTAATTTGGTAATTATATTATTTTGCTGATTTATGGGTGCACTAGGAGTGGCCTAATTAACACTTGATTGAGTATAATCAATTTGAGGGAAAACTTAAAATGGCAGATTAAGCCTTCTTTTACAAAAGTGTAGAATGCTGATACTTCAGAAAGAGTGAGGCTATGAAATAACTTGAAGGCTGATTTTTACATAGTCTTCTCTGAGCCCATGCAGCTATGAATCAATGTTCCAAACAACTGCAATACACTATCATCTAAGCCTCTAAAAGAAAGTAAGTATATCTGGATTTTCTTTTGAAGAAGAGGAAGCTATTTTTCTACTGGAATCTAAAGTCATTTAAGTTCATTTTAAAGCAAAGGTAAATATTCTTAATTTCGTCTTTGGCTTAGTATTTCCGTATTTGCTTTTACCTCCTACAGTTTTGGCCAGACCCTTTCATATAACAAACTATAAAATAGCACCGTTGTACTACAAAACAGATTTTTACATACTGTTTGATATATGTGTATTATTGATATGCTAAATTTTACATACTGCATTATATGGAGGAAGAAAGAAGTTACCTATACTGTTGCAAAACAATCACCTGGAAGAATTATTAACGGTTTGAGAGTCTATGTATGCTTGAACTTTTTTTAAAAAATCATTTGTCTCACAAATTGTGATAAACTGCATCTTTGCAAGAGAAAGAAAAAATAAACTGTCCTAAAATGACTGTATCTATAACCCATACTCTGTCGAAATGCCACAGATGGAATTAATGGATGTTTAAAATTGTTTATGTTACCTTACTGCTGCTGCTACTGGGAATGTCAAACTGTGCAAATATGAAGGGGTAGACAAACAATGTTATCAGTCACTGTAAAACAAACAGCCTGTTGCTTGTATAGAAGTGCAAATAAAAAAAAACATTTAGACATGGCTGATGAATGACTCCAGCAGCCAGCATTCATAGGTTAATTTAGTGCAATTGGATCCATCAAAGGCCCATAAATTTGTAGGCTTTTGAGGGGCACAAGACTTTTAAGAGTTTTTGTGCAGGACATTTAAAATAGGTTAACGAACAGTAATATATCAACCACAGATATATATATATATTTAAGTTCTGGGCTGGTTAAAATGTTCTTTTCTCTAAAGACTTAATATTGGAATGTTTAGTTGCATTGTTCACGGGGAGAATGCCCATTGGTTGAGATTGCATCAAGCTTATTAAATGATAGTTTTCTTTAAGTCTTCCCACGTTTAACAAATAATTTATTTACAGCAAAGTATCCTGCAGATGGCACATTCATTCTTCACTCTTGCGGATGGCATGTTCTTACATTCTGTAGTTTCTGTTTCCTGTGTTCCCTCTACTTGTATTCTTCAAATGAACTTCCTGGAATTGTAGAAAAAAGAAATTATTCTTCATAGATTTTAATATGTGTTTGATAATACAACTTGCATTAGTGGGAAAACAATTATCCTGAGTGGTAGAATTATTAGATCTCTTTTGCCAGACCACAGAGAACTTGACTATGCAAAACTTCTGTACTCTGAATTCCCAGTTCTCTTAGGGAGAAGCACTTTGATTGCTGCTCTTGTTGATCTGAGTAGTTTCAGCGTAACCACACTCTTGCACACAAAGGATATTCAGAGAACGCCTACCATACTGCGATTATATTTTGGAGGCATTGAAGAAGGGGAAATCTCTGCATTTGGGCTTAGTTTGTTTGGGCTTAGTTACTTCGGTACTTCAGGGGAAATCTCTGCATACTGGAACTTGTTTGGGCTTAGTTACTTCGGTACTTACTAAGTACGAAAGATTTTCTCACTTTCAGAATAAGATCTTTTGCAAAAGCAGGATGTATAGGGCTCAGTGAACTTTCAAGCATTGACTGAGGGCTTTATGGACCCTCCTGGGTTTTATCAGATAAGGCTGTTAGCATGATAAAAAGTGCTGATTGTCTGGAGAAGCTGCTGTCAAATCAGTTGTGCTTTCATAAACAGACAAGGTAATGTGTAAGGTAAATCATAAAAGTTTTGGAATGACTAATACCCTCAGTTCCCTCTCTTCCACATACTGGACTGTTTCAAGCAGCAGTAATGGTTGCAGCATGTATCTGTCTGTTTGATTTCCTCATTTACTATGCTGATAAATATTAGCGAGACACAGATCTTTGCCCATTCTACACCAGACCAGAAGGAAAAGGGATACACAATATTTATAATCCTCTTCAGAAATATTTTTTTTTGTTTACGGAAAACCTGTCTATTGCCCTCAGAAGAATGAAAAATAAATATTGGTCATTGGAAAAGGTGAGCCATGCGTATGTAGCTGTCCCACGACATCTTTTAACCTTAAAGAAACTTAATTATCTTTTAGCCTTATCTTTTAGCCTTAAGGAAACTTAATTCTAAAATTTAGGAAATGATGAAAATGTTACCTGCTTTTGTGATGGACAGCAAGAAAATGGAAGTTGGATTTTGTGCTCATTACATTTGTTTTTTAAATGATTTCCTCATAGAATACTATTCTGTAAAAAGTGTATTTATAAATATCCAAATAGTCTATACATATATATTTACAAATACTATTGTTTAAACTAACCAAATAAATCAGAAACTGATAATGGACAGCAAAACTTGTGTTGACACAGAGCTCACTAATTTCACAGATTTCAGGTCAGAATAGGAGATGAATTATTATTTTCAAAATAAAAAAAAGAGCAGGAGATACTAGCTGGTGTTAAAATAATGATGCCACCAACAAATCATCAACATCATTGAGTCAAATTAAGATTTTTCATCACTGGAGAGTCAAATCTTTTCATAGTAAAACATTCATGAATATTCATGATGAAGAGATATCTTTGTTAGTAGACTTTCTTAGTCTCAAATGCTATATTAAATGAAGATGAAAAGATTAATCATCTAGTGACATTGCTGGAGATCCATTCAAGAGAATGCTGGCTTGCCTTCCTCAAATTATATTAAAATCTCTATAGGATATCTTTCCTAGTATACATCGAATATAGAAACAGTGATACTGTTCATTCACATATATATATATATAGCTGTTCCCCTACCTGTTTCTCTTCCAACTCTTTTGAAATTTCCTTTCCTGACTTTAGTGTACCCTGAATTGTATTTTAATTTTCACCTCCAAGTACTCGTTCTGGTTGAACTCTTCAATTTTCACTGATTCTGTATGGAATCATTGCTGCAGCAAGTTATTTGGGGCTTCCATTATTAAGGATCCTCCCTAATGCTACAAATTATAGGGGTAACAACACACTAAGAAAACAGGATTTTTTTACTCATTAGCTTAATAGTTCCTCATGGCAATAAAACAAAATAAAAACCTTATCAATGCTGCCCCAAGGTTCTCCTGACTGAGGACAATTTACCAGCATATGGGGAAAGAGTTTTTTGTTACAGCTTGTTTGCAAAAAGACATAAATTCTTAAAGTCATCTATAAAATGAAAATACGAAATTTATGAAATGACAACCATTTTGCATTGTAGTGGCTTCCAAAAGATACTTATATTTAAAATGAGCCATATGTTTCCCAAAGGAAAAGATAAATTGTTACTTCTAAAGTCATTGTCTAACTTTGTAATGGTCTAGTCATCCAAACACAGCATATACTAAAATGAAGCAGAGTTTCAGTTATAGCTTTTACTGCTGGTGCATAGATGGCAAAAGAGCTGTCCTAACCACAAATTACCTCTGAAACTCAGGGAATACGGTAGGTGACTTTCAGAACAGTTTCTCTTCTAGAATAAGCCTTCAAATCCATAAGTATAAAGAAGTGGCAGTGGTGGTGATGGCAGTAACATGCACTCCAGAAAGTGCTTTGACCCGTATAACACAATTTTTTGCAATTGAAAACAAGTGTGAACGCCTGAATAAGATCCTCAGCCCTGCTTTTGAACAGGCATTTAAAAGCTTGCCTTTTTTCCTCAACTCTTTGAAAAAAAAATGGTAATTAAAAATAAGCTTGTTATTTATGATGCCTTTTTAGGTATCAGGTCCTCTGAGTTGACATTACAGACCTGGACAAAGTTAGCATTTAAGATGACGGTTACAAAATGTCAGTTTTGTATAAGTCGGTTTACGAACAGAGAAGTGCCAACTTCTGCCATGTCATCTTCAGCAAAGATTTTTGAGACAGTTTCACATTAACACAAGGATAACAGCTACCTCAGTGATAGTAAACGTCATTTAACTAGGATGAAGGGTACTAGGAAGTATGCAGCAGTATTCTTATGCTATTAGGATGCATATTCAAACCTCATATTGGCATTAAATATCCTTTTGCTTTACTGCTAATAAATGAAAAGTCTAATGTTTGTAGTAACAGACATTATAACTTAGCTACGAACTCTCTGGGGTCTGTTTGAGAAGATTTTAGTTCAGTAGGCAGTGTGGTCAGTAACTAAATAACAAGGCTAGAAAGTGAGCAATGGGAGAGAATAAATGTCTGAACTGAAAGGGACAAATTCTGCTGTTACACCTAAATGTGCTTTCATTGACTTTCCCAAAGTGGCATGGATGTAACAGAAATTAATATTAGTGTCATTATGCATATTTTGACCTACAAATGTATCTGTGAGTTATTATAGGGCCAATCAGAAAAGACACCACCAATCTTACAAAAAATGCATGAGAAGTAATGCAATACCTGTTTTCTTACTGGTATTTTCTTAAAGTAAACATATTAATGTCATCTCCCTCATTCTCTTGGTTCCACTTAGTATTTATTTAAATTTCAAATATTAGATAAAATTTTGGCTAGCATCTGATCTTTCTATTCCTATTCACTTCCTATTGCTACATTGTTGGCATATATTTATGTATATTTCTGCATATGGGGCCTAAAGAGAAATGACGACTAGAAATCCAAGGAAGAGCAAAATTATGTCTACTTCCCTAATCCTTTTACTCAGGATGCAAGAGGACAGCATTTACTCTTTACTTACGGGAGTTTAAAAACAGCTTTAATGGTTCCCTTTCATGTAGTGATTTTCCTGGTGCACTGTAGTCTTAAATTGATAACTTTGTATAATAGAAGTGTTCCATTCAAACAAGTCTTTGCCCTTGTTTTGGAAATTGCTGTGGAAATAGCAGTTTCCTTCCTTGAACAGTTGCTCTTCAAAATTCTGTTCAGCCATTTCCTCATTTGCTGTTAAATCTTCATTCATTTAAAGATAAGTAGACTTTTAACAGCATTTCTCAGCAAAAATGAAAGGAAAAGATAGATGGAACACAAAAGCAAGAACTTAAGAACTTTCTTGCTGCTGTTTCACACACATCTTGAAACTGTAATCATAAATTTAGTGTGAAAATAGATAGGGCACACTCTTTGATGAGAGTTTGGCAGATCCCTGAGAAAGAAGTCTGCCTGCTGGGGCTAATAGGAGCTGTATATTACTGCCGTTCACAACCTCCTCAAGGCCCACAGTGCTGAAATCCGTCTGGAAAGGTACTCTTGAGTTATCCCATCTGTTCACTAGATAACTTGTTATGGTCAGACTGTAGCTACAGCATTGTTCTGCGATGTCATTTCCCTGTTCAGGTAGTTAGTTCAAATTTGGCTTACTGCTCTAGTTTAAGGTAATTTTGTCCTGGGCTGAGAGCAAAAGAGCAACTAAAGAGGTGATGGAAGCTGGACATCAACACAAGGATGGAGTTAAGGTTGGGTATGTGCTTCTGACACATTCCTGTGCATAAAGGTCTTATAACAAGAAAAACAACGGTTCTATAACAAAGGAGATTTTTAGTTTGTTGACTGTTGTGCTTGACTGTTCATGTACAGTCTCTGTAATTGGATTAAAATTAGCTCCTGAGGCTGGTTTCCGTCAGAAGATTGGCATTTGGGGTTCACAAAAATGTAATTAATTATATTAATTAAATTAATCGTTTCACATTCCTGGTCTTCATCATTCAAGTTTGTGCCTATAGCGTAGAAACACTTCTTTGGGGAACACTAATGACTACAAATCATCATTTATATAACTTATAGGAAGAAAAACAACTCTGTTCCATTGGACTAAATTTACAGAGGATCTGCCTGTTTACAAAGACAAGAGGAATAATTTTTTCAAGAACTTTGAAAAGTAGACCTCTTACAAAACCATTTAATCCAAAAACAAAATCAAGAGGTTTTTTTTTCTATTGAAAAGACTGTGAGATAATGCCACATTAAAAGTATACTGAAAATGTGAAAGGCATAGGAAATAGATTGCGTATGGCATCTCAGAGTGACAAAACAGCACCTTACATGTTCCACTTACTTTATAGCTCATATTTAAATAAGAATAACATCTAGTAATTGTGGTGCTGTGAGTCTCAGATATAGTTGTGCTTTCAGAGCCTTACATGAAAGACTCCATAGAACTGTTTTTTGATATTTTTTCTATTTCTTTTTCCTTCTTTTTAGTCAAAATCTATAAGGACTAGCAGTCATTTTTTTTTTCTTTTGTGGGAGGAAGAGAGGATATAGATATTAAAAATACTTCTGAGTAAAATACTCATTTTCAGAAGGTATTTCTTCTGTTTGTAATTAATATTTTTTCCTACCATGGATTTAGACTATTCGTTCTCCTTGTTTCATATTTAATTAAGTTTTCTGCTGTTCTGGTCCTGGTTCCTGTTGTTCCTCATGAACTTGAAATAGAATTGTAGCCTGGCTCTTTCAGTCTCATGGACACACTGAGTAAAATTTGTGTGGAAATCAGGGGAATGAAAGGTGGAATTTGTTATATTTAATTGTTAAGTATGTTTAGTTTCAGTGGTCAGTAAGCAAAACTTATACTTCTTGTTAGGTACTCCTAAAGAAACCTAAACTACATTCTAAAAGATGTGAACTTCAAACTCAAGAAAAAGGTAAGACTGACAAAATATGCCCTGTGATGCCTGGAAGTATTGCCATTGACTACTCTGGGAAAATGACACAACTGGAGAAGCAAGATATTTCAAAGCAGATAAATTAGTTTCAATAATTTTAATATTTTGTTTTATTTTTTTAATTAAAAGAGTGACATATCAACACTATGGATTAGTTTAGTGCATTCATATAAAAATAAAATGTTCAAACATAGCATTGTTTTTCTTAATTCAGGTATGTATAGCTGACTGGAAAAAAAAACGAGAATATAGTGTCAGTTTAAAATGAGAATAGGGTGTCAGTTTAAACTCCAAATGTGTGCCACTCCACATATGTGGAGCCAACTGTATATATATTTGCTGCCTGCAAAGCTACTTGAATTATGTTAATCTCCAACTCTTTCGCTTACTGACTATAGATAACATAGATAAATAGAATAGTGTGGGGGAGAACAAGTCAATGATTTTCAGTGGCTGCAACTAAGCAGAGCTTAATTTCTGTCTTTAAACCTTTAGCTATGAAAAAAGTTCATCTTGTTATAATTCCCTTGCCTTTGCATTAACTTTTTAATGCAAAAAAAATCATTCTTTCTCTGTATTTTCATCTTACCTATCATAAATCTGACTTTTGAGTTCTCCTCACCCTGCTGTATTTTTGTTTCCTCAGTCTGGTCTTCACCATGTGCAGAGATCAAGGTAAAATTGAATTTGTTTTTCCCATCAGAGTTTTCTTATTTAATTTTCAGTTTCCCACTAAGAAACACTTTTTTTCTCTATTTCTGATCAATGCTCTCCTTTTACAATATATTTCTCTTTAATGGTGCTCTTTCTTTTGACACTAGGTAGTTATTACAAAATATGGGGTGATTGCACTATCAAGTTAATTTGGTCTGGTAAATAAAAAAATAAAGAAGCCAAAATCCTGATTCAAGGGGAAAAAAAAATTGTTCATTTACACAGTAAACATGAATAACAAAAGCTGCGCTTTTCTTCCTGGTCACTCGTTTTCTTTTCTTGACATAGGAAGATGAGCAAGGTTCTGAAGAGATTAGTTGTTAATTAGTCAGTGTTTGATTTCTCTTTTGAAAGAGGTGATTGGTGCTATTCATGATTGGACGATGCGAGTACCAGTCAGTTAATATTCAGAGAGAGAGTGAAGCCCCACAGGTACTAGCTTAACAATTCAAAATTTTGTTGAATGTTCTAAGAGGGAACACTTCCATTTGCTACCTGTTTTCTACCACAGCCACTGTTTTCCAGGACAAATCAGTTGTTGCTTATGTCACCAAACTTGACAGAATTCTTCCTCCCTGACAGAGAGGATTTTTTGTGTTTGTTTATTTTTTGTTGTTGTTGTTTTGTTTTTTTTCCAGCCTGGCCTACCTTTTGTGCTTTGGGCATATCAGTGTGGCGCTGAGCACGTACAGAGCGTGCAGATTTAGGTGGCTTGATTGGAGCACAGTACATCTCCAGCCTCCTCAGGTCACAGCTTTGGAAACAGCATTCATCCACTATTCCCTTGTGGTGTAAGCGTCTACTGCTGGATCCATACCCAGTAGGCTTACCTATGCAAAACAAAAAGGGAAAGTTTTGTATTAGGAAGAAAAGCAGAGACCTCTGAAGCAACCATAGAAACTTACATTATTGTATCTGAATCGACAATGACGGTTATAGACATTACTTCTGTGTATCTACTTTAAGGTCCTGTCTTCAGTTGCAGCATTCAAAGGTTCTGCCTGGTAATACGCATATACCCATCCTGCAACTGTCTGTTAGGAGACAATATTAGAGTTTGCAATTCCCTGATTAAAACATAAGTTGATGAAGAGCCCTTGAGGCCACGGTACATTCGTAAGTACCAAGACCTCTAGTGGTAAAATATGTCTAACATTTTAGCCAGCAATACAGTCCACCCAGAACTAATTATCCCTGTAAGATTTGTAAACTCAGACAATCATTTTTTAAAATATCTTTTTTCCAGGGACTGCAAATTAAAGAAAAAAATGCTTACTTGGTACATTGAAATCCACTGAGGACCTCTGTACTGTACATTTTCTACTAAATTATTTGTTTCATAAGACTAAACAGAACAGCAAACAGGGTTAGTAATATTTCGATTTTTGTCTATGTGCACGCACATTTGTATGTTATTCTGTGTATCGCTGAAGAGCATAAATATGAAGAAAAAGGAAAAAAAAGAGATCATTATCATTTACTAAATTATAACACAAATTACAAGCTTCTCCCTGGAGATTATTCTGAAGCCTGTTAATCAGGCTCTCTTATCCTAATACTCTTCTAAAATCTAGCAGTTGGAATGAAATGTGGAGTGACATTATTGTACTGGATAGCATGAGCTTTTCTACATTTTGTTTTATTTGCTTCACATTTAAAACATAGCAGGGCAAATTCTATACCTGGATATATATGTGTAACTCTTGCTCTGGATATGCATGTGTAATTCTTGCTAATAAATGCATCTGAATTGTGGGTATCAATAGTCAATGAGTCATCTTGCCCCCTTTTTTTTTCCCTGCTTTTTATCAACTTCTCATAAGCAAACATCCTCTAAAAGTTTCTATTCGGGATTTTTCTTTTAAATGGTGCCTCACAGCAGCTAACAGGTGTTGATGCTTAGTTGGTTTCCTGGAGTGCTATTGATAATAGTAAAAATAGTGATGGACAGTTCATCTGCTAATTTCAAGGGGCTTATTACAATCTTTCTACCTAGAAAAGAATTTAGCTTTAGAAAAAAAAATCTATGAAGCTAACAGAAAATATTAGCATTTCTGGGAATCTTTGCACTTCTGGGAATCTTACAAATGTTAGCTCCCAGCATTCTGAAAAGAAAGAGAGTATGATCTGTAGGTGGGAAAATTTAGAGTCAATAAGATGAAATGTTTTGTCCAGGAACTTCAGTAGATTAACAACAGAGTTTGATAGAAGAAATGTTCCTTCCGTGGGTATCAGATCTACAAATGTCTTTCTCTTGTAAAAATAGTTTAAGAAAATAAGTGTTCTTGTTCTTTACTGAAGTCAATACTTCTCTGGAACTGGAGGCAAGTTCTCTATAGAGCCGTTCTGGGGTAATTTTTCTTAGCGATATTTTTTGGCCTGACTGTTCTTCTAAGACTGTTCACAGACTAATGATTGTCATTGGCATTTCTGAAAGTAGCCATCCCTTATGAAGGGGTTATTTCAGTGTTCATCAAAATTATTTTTACTATAATCAAAGATATATACAAAATATATATTTTTTTCTGATAGAATAATACATTTAGAAAGCAAGATACAACATCTTGTAGCTCATTATATGCTAAGAAACATATAATGAGTTTGGAATCACTGACACATTAGTGCTGTGATCAACAATGAAACTTGACATATTTGTAGACAAACTTATTCTTTTGTTATACGGCATGCTACATGCTCATTCTCTCATTAGTATTGGTCTAATGATATTTTTAAAATTTCTTTCTTAAAAAGAATCCCAAGGTGTTTCAAAGAAAAAAAATTGCAAAAAGCAAATTAAGTAAGCTTAGAATTTGTATGAAATAGATTCATATGAAATAGGAATTGATATTACCTGAAGTGCTGTACAACAAACAAAGCAAATAAGCCGAAAAGAATAGGATTTTTTTTCAGTAATTTTAAATTCTACTTTTGAGACACATCTGACATATTAACAAATTGTAAACTGCTGTTGTCCTCTTAACATGTCATTTGGCCTTTGCAGCTCTTATCATAGACAAAGATGCAATAATGAATTACAAGGAGATGTTATTGCTTCTGCAGATATTATCAGCACTTTGCACATCTGCTTGTGAAGGACACAGGATCATGTCTGATGTGTTGATTTCTTCAGGGTACTAAGACATGGATTTAGATCTAACTAAATGTTCAAGCTTCTTTGCAGTCAATGGGCCTAAAGCCTGTAGGCAACATTAAGCACATGCCTGAGCTTTTGTCTACAGGGAGACTGACTTAGCCTGAAATCCATATGAGTAAAAAAAAAATGGCTGGTAGTCCTATATATTTAATATCAGTTTTCCTTTCCTTAAATTTTTGATGATATGACCTTAAAATAGTGACGGAACCTTCTATGTTACTATACTGGGTACCCGTAGAGTCTTTCTCTTCATTCTGACACAGTTTCAGTGCTGCCCCCCAGCTGTTATCAGAAAGTTCCTTGTATTTACTTCACCTTCAAAGCGCTGCCTGTGGACATATAACAGTCCTATGCATTCCTTTTTGCCGACGTACACCAATGTCCTTGGTGGTTTCTTTCCTTTTTTGTCGTTGTTAGCTCAAAAGCGGTTTCATATCATGTAGGTCAAAGTTTACTTAATAGAATTTTTGGCTCTTGTTTAATCTACTCTACCAAATATGTGAATGTTTCTTTCCATGTGCTACAAACAGATACGCAGTTTAGTCATGCAGTTCTGAATTTCACTGAAAGCAAGCCAAGTTACAGAATTCCAATAGTTAAACAGCTGGCTTCTGTACTAACAGCACTTCCCTTCAAATAATGCAAGGCCTGTGGAGTAATTCGGTAGGGCTTGCTTGTGCTTGATTGCTTGTTTTTTTTTTTTTTTTTCCTCTGCTGATGTTATCAATGTTAGAAACACAACTATAGGTAGATTGTGTGATTTTCAATTGTCAAGCTACCTGGACATTTTGTGAAGAATTACAACCTCCCATTGAGGAGAAATTCTATTACAAATGAATGAAGTGTCCTTGGTCACAAAGTATATGTCATTTGTGTAATTCAAAGCCAGTTTCCTATTTTTCCATTTTAATAATTAAATATGATAACATATGTTTGATCCTAAAAACATACTGACCAATCTGCTGTTTAATCAGAGTTTTTTGATATCACATTTTATCTTCTTGTTATATTAGATAAATGGTATACTATTATATGTTACACTTCTTGAGCGTAATCCGGAGTTTCTAATCAGGATTTTGAAAATTATGAGTCTATGTTCAATCAGCAAGAACTGTATTTTGATACTTCTATGAATTTAACAAACAAATAAGCATACAAAAAAGGAGGCAAAAAATCTTAGATCTCTTGGAAAGTCCCGTAACAGAAATATCTCACGGCTTAAACTTCATAAAGCAGGCAATCTGATTTTCATAGAAGTAAGTTGCATACAGTTTACTTCTAAAAAACTATAGCATTTAATATCTAGTTTCCATTTTTCCATCTACGTTGTGTTAGTGCTATAAAATAATTAGGCTTAGACTGATTTTTGTTTGTATTCATCAAAACGAGCATATATTAGCATTTATAAATACTCAGTGAATGGATGCTCTAGCTCTGAAGTCTAATTTAATATGCATGAGAATAGAGTATAAACTTTATCAGTATGCACAAGTAAAATCTTTATGGAAGCATATGCATTGGTTAATATTGAGAAATTGCATTAGGCCTTTTCTTTGTAGAATACTGGATTGCATTAATTATCAAGTTTAAGGCAGAAAGATGTTTGCTAATTGTTAAAAGATTTGTCCTCTAAAATTCTGAGTGAGTAAGGCTGGGAAAGCCTACGCCCTCAGTTAGCATTGCTATAAGTGAAATCTGTCAAGTTCTGACTATATTGAGAGTTTTGCCCCCAAAATTAATATTTGTAAGTTTCACCCCAGGAGAAAATAAAAACTCATAATGGAGTTTAAAATAAAGAACAACTGGAGAATAAAACATATATTTTACTTATGCAAAGTCATAGGTAGAAGATTGTAGGAGATTTCTATCTAGAGAGAAATTAATTCATCTATGTATGTAGATTTATTCCATAATAGATTTAACATGCATTAATTTTTAACATGGTCTGTGTTTATCAGACAGTTTGCCGCACGATTGAAGGAAGTCATTTTTTTCATCTAGAAATATGCTTCCAGAGGGTTTTTTTTTTTTTTCATTCCAGGATAATTACTTAAAAATAAAATCCCCTTTCCCTAAGTTTATTTCCAAAATAGTTTGTAACAATTTTCCCTCACTGGTATTTCCCTCACAGATAGTCTTATTGTTCTTTGTGCTCTTTATGGAGTTGCTGTTTGGAGGCCATTAAGTATATTCGCTGTGTGACACACTAGGCTTCACACAGGAGTTTCCAAGCCAGTTACAATGTGTGAAGAGTGAACCCTATAGTTTCGTGAGTATTGCACGGGGATAGGAAGTGGAACTTTTAGAGGTTAGAATTCTTTTGAGGAAGAAAAACAAAAAAAAATAGCAGAAATAGAGGGAAACAATATAATGTATTATTTTACACCAGTGCAATGCTCCAGAGGGCGAAAACCTTGCCAACATAGCACAATTCACAGGCCTACATCAGATTCCAGATCTGGAAAGGGGCAGATGCTGCCAAAAATTATATACTTTGGCCAGCAAAATGCTTTGCTGGATAGAAATTCACTATTATGAGAATAACCAGGTTTATCAAGGTTTAGGACAAGATAATTAGAAACTAGTAGGTCATTGTTACATTTGAATATTACACACTCCAGTGCATCCAGGAGGACATTGGTAATACAGTCTTCCATCCATAATGAAACTACATAG